CATCTATCATTTTTTGCATACATAATTTTTTCAGCTTTCAGAGTCAAGTTTGACTTCAAGACGAAACATACTCAATTTAAAATCACCCTTTATGGATCGATGTCAATTGCTTAACTCAGCAGTGAGAAGCTACACCTCAACCAACTTGACATATTGAAAGATCAATAGATCTTAGTATCAACTTCAGACGGGTTCGAAAGTTAATTTAGAACGGATCCAGTTCAGCTTAACTCAATAATGAGTGGCCAGTTTCCAGCTAAAATTTTTGAGCCAGATTTCAACTCCACGATGGATGATATCCGACTGACAAACTACCTCAATTGTCTTTCTCACAAAGAGAAGTCACTTGAAGAATATACCACATGACTTTCCCGTGAAGGGGAGTCATCCAAAGATCATCTCACCTGGTTCATACTCGCTCAGGGGAACCACCTGAGGAATATACCACATGGCTTTTCTGTGAAGGGGAGTCATCCAAAGATCATTTCACTTGGTTCAGACCCGCTAAGGGGAACCACCTGAGGAATATACCACTTGGATTTCCATGAAGGAGAATCATTTAAAGAATTATGACTGGCTTAGACCCGTGAAGGGGAGCCATTTTTCACTTAAAAGAATTATTCGCAGCATAGCTCAAGGCGAAAAGGGTATCTGCCAACAAACCTTCGAGTTCGATTACATTCAGCTCAAAGGCATAATAAATTTACAGCATAGCTCAAGGCGAGAAGGACTATCTGTCAATAAAGACCTTCGAGTTTGATTACATTCAGCTCAAAGGCATATCAAACTTACAACATAACTCAAGGCGATAAGGGTTATCTGTCAGTAAAGACCTTCAAGTTCGATTACATTCAGCTCAAAGGCATATTAAATTTGCAGCATAGCTCAGGGTGTGAAGGGTGTTCTCTCAACAAAATACCTTCGAGTTCGATTACATTTAGCTCAAAGGTACATCAAATTTACAGCATAGCTCAAGGCGAGAAGGGCTATTTGTCAACAAAAGACCTTCAAATTTGATTACATTCAGCTCAATGGCATATCAAAATTACAGTATAACTCAATGCGAGAAGGGTTATCTGTCAGTAAAGACCTTCAAGTTCGATTACATTCAGCTCAAAGGCATATCAAATTTTCAGCATATCTTAGGGTGTGAAGGGCTATCTGTCAACAAAATACCTTCGAGTTCGATTACATTTAGCTCAAAGGCACATCAAATTTACAGCATAGCTCAAAGCGAGAAGGGCTATTTGTCAACAAAAGACCTTCAAGTTTGATTACATTCAGCTCAAAGGCATATCAAAATTACAGTATAACTCAATGCGAGAAGGGTTATCTGTCATCAAAGACCTTCGAGTTCGATTACATTCAGCTCAAAGGCATATCAAATTTGTAGCATAACTCAGGATGAGAAGGGTTATCTGTCAATAAAGACCTTCGAGTTCGATTACATTCAGCTCAAAGGCATAGCAAATTTATAGCATAACTCAAGGCGAGAAGAGTTATCTGTCAACAAACCCTCGAGTTCGATTACATTCAGCTCAAGGGTATGTCAAATTTATAGCATAGCTCAAGGTGAGAAGGGCTATATGTCAACAAAAAAACTGTCGAGTTCGATTCCATTTAGCTCGATGACCTATCAACCACATGGTGGAGTCAAGGAACCATTTTCCAATCAAATTTTCAAAACAAGGTCTTTAAACCGAGAAGAAGACCGAAGTTGACTACATTTTGGCAACGAGAAGCCACATTCCGATTCAAATTTTGAATTACGGCTTCAATTTCATATCATTTCATCGGGCTTCAACTCTACGATAGAGGATATTTGATAAAAGGGGAATTGATCCCTATAATAGATGATGTTAAATTTGGTGATACATTCGTGATGAACGAAAATTGTGTCTTGTAATCTTTGCCCTATTCCCGTTACACGATAAAGGGAAAAGAGGGGCAACTGTGGACACTAATTTTTATCCAATTATATATATATATTATTATTATGTTATTACTTTTTATAATTCATTAAATATACATATATTTATATTTATTACATGTGCTTTTTTTACAGGTCCAAAACCCAAGCCCAAATTACAAAACAAGGTACCCAAGCTGCAGCCCGAGCCAGTAACCCGCGACCTAGATCCAAATGGAGCCTTGACCCAAGATCCGGTTCAGACCCGAATCGGCCTAACAGGAAACATCTAGGGTTTTCGAACCCTAGCCAGCCTCCTCAGTGCCGCAGTTACGATCCAGCCGCTTCCAACAACCCGAGTTTCCCGACGTTCTTCTCGACACCAACCTCACCAACAAGCAACAAAATAAGCGTTTTAGTTCCAATAGGAAACACTAAAAATAGTTTTTTTTGCTATATATAAGAGAGATTTGGGATAAAAAACTGAGAGAAAACATTGAAAAACCAAAAGAAAAATAAACCAAAAAAAGAAGAGAAAACATATTTTTAGAGAAGATCATGCCTTTGGTAGCTTCACCGGAGCCTTAAAAGTCACAACCGAATGTAAAAATCATACCTTTAAAGTTATGTTTTGATTTTCGTTGATTTGTGGGGTCGAATTTAGGGTGCTAGGTCGTGAGGGGTTTGGTTTTAAGGGCTAACCCGAGTGTTTTAACCTCATAGCCATCGATTCACGGTGGCCGAAGAGACTTGTAAGTCTCACCATTCTCTGCGGCGGGAAGGAATTATAGAGGAAAATGAGAGAGTTTTAGGTTTTAGAAAAGTGAAATGAAATTTTGGGGGGCCGGTTCAGCTTTGTTTTTGATTATATGTTTGGCGTGAAATGACACCATTTTAGGTGTTAAGGTTCACGTGTGGTGTAATCGTGAAAAGAGGGTTGTGTTTGGTAAAGTTTACATTTCAGTGTTGTGTTTTGTAAGGTTTGCATTTCGGTCATTGAATGGAATTTATTTACTTTTATTTGAGTTTTTATTTATTTGTTCTCTTATTTTGATCATTGTTTATGATAGATGCATTTATGAAATTATTCAACTTTGGTTACTACATCTATATGTGTTTATATTTTAGCCTATGGTTGTTTGTATTCATACATATATGGCGTTTGGACTTTGGCCATAGTATTTGAGAGACTTTCGTTTTGGTTCTTAACATTTGTTTAGAAGATAAGCGTTTAATTGGTATTGTAGATCCTATATTTTAAATTAAATTCGTTCTACACCTTGCTTTTTAGTTTCAAATATTAACTCCTATGAATTCATTACATATTTTATTATTTTCTTAATCTTGTTATTAGGCTTTAACTTATTCCTTAATTTAAGTCTTTTATAGTTTATTTATTTCATAATTTTATTTTTTTATTCTTTGTTCTTGATTTATTTAATGTTTATTTATTATTTCTTATCTAACACTTTGGACTTTTTAGGAATACTTTCAATCGATCAAAGGTAATTAATTCGACTTGAATTTTTTAATTTTAATTTTAATTTTAATTTTTGTAATTAAGAAAACCGACAAATTAAATGGTACCGAAAGTGCGGTTCAAGGGTGATAATCATTCCTTGACCGTAACTGAATCTCGAACCCGACATATTTCTAGTAAAACGCAGATCATGTAAGATGGTGTCCGGTCAACTTAAAATTGTTTTTAAATGATCGGTGTCGACTCTAACCTATTTCATTCAAGTCGAAGCCCAATTCCGGGCCCATCCGAAAATGTCCGCGACAATCTTATTTTGTGGTTTGTTTGTCGGTATAGCCAAATTTGTTTATACCTATTTTTTATTTGATTAGGTCTTTGACATTTTTCTTGCATGTTCATTGTGTGACCTTAGGTGATTAGTTTCTTGTGTTAATGATTATAGGAAAATATGTTTATTATGTAGTTATGGTTGTAAATAATTTGAATAATTTTTCAATTTCAATAAAACTAGTGAGTTCTATTTTTCAGAAAGAATAAAAAAACGAAACATAAGATTTTATGTAAGAGATATACAATTTTTTAATATTTATTTTATAAATTTAGAATATATAAAATTATAAAATTTTAATAAAATATATAAATTATAAAAAAAATAAAATTTTTAAAAGATAAAATTACTAATATTTCTTCCATCCATTTCAGATATTATAGAACTTAATACTTGGCGATCGGTGTCTTCCCCAACCAGGCAACCACAACGTAGGAAAGGAGAAGCGGTGAGATTTCGGTGGGGAAAAGAATGTCATTGTTATGGATAAAATAACTTTTAATCCTTAAATTTGGTAACCTTTTTAAATTTAATCCCTGATTATTTTTCATATTAGTCATGAACTTATCAATTTTCTTCCTTTTCAGTCACTTTTGTGTTTTGATACTCGAATATTATACTAAATGCCAGTGCCGGAAAATATATAAGGAGACCCCTCCCAAAAGATATGTAGGTCCCGTATTATTATTTTTTAAATGAAGCCCATAAAATATTTTATAATAAGATAAATTTATAAAATATCAAAATTTTGAAAAGATTTAAACTGGGATGGACATAAATAAGAATTTTTAGGAAAATTTGATTAAATTAAATTCTTGAGATACTAAGAGAGAAAATCATAAGTTTTTTTTTGGTAAATTTTGTCATGAAAAAACAATTTTTTTCTAGGTTAACATATTCCTTTTTAAGTGTTGGTCCCTAAATTTTGAGATCATATTACGTATCATAAATTACACTTGCCAAGGGACGGACCTATATATAAGTTCATGGAATAATGTTGATAAAAGAATATTAAAGACCAAACTGAGAAAATTATAAAATTCGATGGTTAAAAGTTAATTTATCCCATGTTTTGTTCCCTTGCATTTTTGTGCAGGAATCAAAGGGAAACTTGTCTCTCATGCAGAGCCTCAGGTCTCCAAGTCATCATCCCACGTGTCACCACATTGCACCCCTCTCTTCCATTATAAAATCCCACACCGACCCCATTCTTCCCTCAGATACTTGTTCTCTGTCTATCTTCAATCTTTCGTTTGTCACTTAAAAGATCCTAAACAAGCTTTCATCAATGGCTGACCGTGACCGCCCTATCCAGGCCCAAATCCACCCACAGCACCGATTCGACCAGGTTGTTCGTGGCGGCGGCGGCAAGAACTATCAATCCGGCGGAGGACCCTCAACAAGCCAAATTCTAGCAGCCCTCACTCTCCTTCCCCTAGGTGGAACCCTCCTTGCATTATCCGGTTTAACCCTAACCGGCACCGTCATCGGCCTAACCGTGGCGACACCGCTCTTCGTCATCTTCAGCCCCGTTCTCGTCCCCGCAGCCATCACGATTACGTTGGCGGTGATCGGTTTCTTGTCGTCGGGGGCCTTGGGAGTGATCGGTCTGTCATCGCTCTCCTATGTCTTTAAACGTCTGAGGCCGAGTTCAGGAGGCGAGCAGGTCGACATGGATTGGGCCAAGAGGGGCATGCAAGATATGGTGGGGTATGTAGGGCAGAAGACCAAGGAAGCTGGGCAGAATATTGAGAACAACTACAAGACTCATGATCAGGGTGTTAGGGCTTAGTGTTTGCATGCAGTAGAATGCGCTTAATTACTGTTCTTTGTCATTTTCAAATGTCTGGTTGTTGTCTTTGTTATTTTGGTCCTCTTTGAATCTAGCCTTTGTACTAGGTGTAAGATTATGGATAATAAATAATATGTGTTATTTCTTTTATATTTTTTATCTTCTTAAATTAATGTTAAGAGTTCATGAACGCAGGGTTTTAATAAAATAATAAATTATAAAATTTTAAGTAAGAAATTTTAAGGGATGAAAATAAATTATTTTCATAAAAAATATTTAAAATATATACTAATTTAATTTTTTTAAGAATGGTTGGCTTCATTTTTTTTCCTTTCGATTTATCTTTAATTTCTTTTCATTCGGTCCATTTCTGGTTTTGTCTTGTGCACTTTCAAAGAGTTCTCATATAATTTCAAGATTTTATTATTAAAATATGATTTAAATAGAAAAAGAATTTAAATAAAAATATTAAAAACAAAATATAATGTGAATTTTTAAAAGATAAAATTAAAATTGGTAAAGGATTCGAGAGATGTTATTTTCCAAATTTTTAGTGGTCACCCCTCACCACTGGTCATGAACAAAAATGACACAAAAATGCCAGTTTATGGTTTCTGGACCATTGAGAGTTGACGGGTAGTATTAGAACTTTGGTCATCAGGTCTTTGAATAAATTACAAATTTCATCATTATTTTTTCTTATTTTTCCTATTTAGTTCATTGAAGTTTAAAAGATTTTAATTTTATCAGGGGATTTTTTTATCACTTTGCAAACGTTATTTTAAAAAGATAGAATTTTCACCAAAATTACGTCATTTTGTAATATAACAACACTTATATATAACATTAGTTTTATAACATTAGTAAGAAAACGGCTAAGTAATAATTAAATGTATTAAGTTTAATGAGACAATTAAAAAGGTTTGAAATAAAAATTAAATATATTAAATTTAATGAAAAAAATAAAAGAGAAAATAAAGTTCAACAAATGGTGAATCTGGAAAAAATTTACAAGCTGCGTGAATATAAATATAATAAAAAATTCATCTAATATAATTAATATATATTTTTAATTTAAAATTTTTATAAAATTATATATATTTAGATTAAATTTAGAAAAAAAATATTAATTGGATTAATATATTTTGAGTAATATATATATATATATACATATATATTAATTTTCTTAACATAATTCACACATATTTTTATTTAGGGTAAACTATCTATTTTGTCACCTACCTATTACTTATCTATGTTTTGGTCATTCAACAATTATTTTTGTCAAAATTATAGTTAATGTTACGTTTTGGTTCTGTTTTGGTTATTTGTCGCTAAAAGATTAATAATGATACTAACATGATATGTTTTTTTTTTATTTTTCAATCCTGATCTGGCATTATCTTATGATGACATATTAACATCACCATTAATTTTTAAAAGACGAGTGACCAAAACATAACCAAAATGTAATCTTTGGTGTGATTTAAAATAAATAACAATTGAATGATCAAAACAAAAACTAAATAATAAATGGGTGAATAAAGATTAATTTACCTTATTTTTTGGCAAAGGGTGGGCCATAGCCTAGGTAGACCTAGGCCTAGATACACCACTGTTCATAGTGCACACATTCAAACATAGGACTTCGATCTTTAGAATTCGAACAAATGACTTTAATTTCTAGAATTCAAACGTATGAATTTTTTAACATATTGATAATGTATATATATATTACAAACTTTACAAACATAATTATTTGAATTCAAGATCTTTAAAAGGATATCTGAAAAATAATCTTCTATTTTATCAATGTATAGTCTTCTTTTTTATCACTAAATTTATTTAATGAATTCAATATCATATTTAGAACTTCAATCTAATATTTCAAAAACTTAATGGACATTTATTCTAAGAAAATCGGTTGAAAAAGGGCATAGTTGAAGATAAATCACAATGGAAGAGGAACAATAGTTAATATAATTCAGGGTAAACTACACGTTTGGTAGTTGAATTTTATTATCTCTCATGTTTCACTCATCGTACTTTCAATTTATTCAATGAACTTTATAGATACAATTTTTTTGGTCACTCTGCTGTTAACTAATTAATGACACTATGGCATGATCATATTTTACTTAAAACGTCGTTTTAGTCTAAAATTTATTTTTTTAAGAATTCAAAATGACTTCATTTTGATGTAAGTTGTCATGTCATAATGTCGTTTAATTATTTAACGACGAAGTGACAAAAAAATTCAATCTATAAAAATCAGTGAGCAAATTAAAAAAAATTAAAAGTACAATGAGTAAAATATAAGAGAGTAAAGTTCAATTACCAAACGTGTAATTTACCCATAGAATTCATGTAAAAACATTTAATGTAACATTTTAATACTTATTTAAAGTATTACAAATTATATATACTATACATTATTAAAAATATGATAATTTTTTATATAATTATAAGAATATTATTTGTGTAAATTTAAATAAATTCAAATATTTATAGATAAAACGTGCTCGAATTAAATCACCTAATTTAATTTAAAAAATATCATCGAATTCCCATTAGGCCCCTACAAATATCAGCCTGCCTATATCCAAATAAGGGTAACTATGTCATTACATTTACACTTTCAAGATATATATATAAAGCCAGACCCGAGGAAATTAACGAGATTTTTCTCCCTAAAAAATGGACTCTTACACTTCGTTACTCGAGAAAACCCGCCTTCCCCAACCTTCCCTCCAAAGATTCGCGGTAATCTCCATTTTCTCAAAGCTCCGAACCGCTCCACTTCACCTGGGACCCGATTCCGAACCCGGATCCCAAGCCATCTCCCAATGCCTCCATTCCTCTTCTCCCGCCGTCGTCGACCAATCAGTTCGCGAGCTTTGCCGGCTCGTTTTGGACTCCAACATGGACTTACCTCGGGCCCTGTTGGAGCTCCAATCATCATTGGAAGGATCCGATCCAAAATTCGTTCCACTCTTTGTGAAATCCTTAGGGTTTATCGTTTGCGTCGGGTTCGAACGAAGTAACGGGTCTTGGAAACCCGAGTCCCATGAAGATCACCCGTTCGTTAAGGTTTGAATTAATTTAAATTTGAGTTATCATCGTAGCCATCCTCATTGTTTTAATTATTCGTTTTTTAAAATTTCAGGTTCTTTCCAGTCGGAGAGAGGTTGAATTGGAGCTTGTGAATCAAATTTTGTTGTTTATGGAGAAAAATAAGGGATTGGGAATGATGGAAGTCTGCGAATTCTTGAGACCTTTTCTGAATTTTTCGATTTTAAGAATGAATTTCTCGGATTCTTCATTGTTTTTGTTTGGTAGACAGTTGATTTCGTCAATGGCTTCGTTTTGCTGTTCAATTCCTAACCAGTCATTGCCCATTTTCATATCACTTATAAATTGCCTGAAATATTTCCCTCCCAAAAGCTTAGAGGTAAGTGGTAACTTCACTAGTTACATAGGAAAAGCGCTTTTGTTAATCAGAATGCATGATTTTTAGTTTTACATGGAGTGGTTACTTTGAGTACGTGTCCCACTCAAACTATTTGCTTAGTTTTAGTTCAACGTGATTTTACCTTTTCCCTTTTGGAGCAATTTAATTAGCAGAAAACAACTAAATTTACTTGTAATTTTGTTTCTTTGTTTAGTCATGTTGATTAATTTTAGTACTAAAAGTTTCGTGTCATGTTTAATATGGATTTCTCATATTTAAGTTTGTTCTTATATATAAACTTATTGGTCTTTTATGTTTGGAACTTGTTCTCTTTGAAAGTTCATTTTTATTAGGTATTTAAGTTCTATATTCTTGTGGAATTTCAGGAAACCAGGAATTTTAGTCACATGACAGAATGCGTGGTTGACTCATTTACTGTTGTTTTGAGGCAGTTGGTTGGAAAAGGAATGGTATGTTCTAGAAACTTCAGTTTTCACTTGGACCATTCTCTTTTGACCTCAGAATTTTCGTTACTCTGCTTAGTTGTTTTTCTAATGAGAGTTCACTGGTGTGCTTTTGTTTTGGTCCATGTTAACAGTTGGTTACTGAAGCTCAACAATGTGGGGTGGAATTAATTGTGAATGTTCTTTCACTCTGTACTTCTCCTTGCAAGCAGTCTAGTGGGATTGAGTCTATAGTTGAGCTATTAAAGCACATGTTGGTTTCCCAGAAAGATCTTGGATTGCAATATATACCAGAATTATCACCAGTAATATTATCCTTATCTGTTTTACTCATCGAGTCCGAGCTTGAACATCAGCAGCTGTCAATATTAAAATTCCTTCATTTTATTTTGAAGTGGAAAAGTGATATTGGTATTTTCAACATTCTATGTCAATTATGTTCTCTTGATTCCCTTTAAATTGTATCTTCAGAAATTTCTTTGCTACATACTGAATTTTTATTGTAGTCTAAAGTCTAAAGTCTAAACTATATTTCTAAGCTTCTGACTTAATCTTATTTGTCATGAATCCATGTCAAAAAAGTATGTAAAATTTTAGTACGTTTATATGCTGCATGAATTCATGTCAAAGGAGTGTGTAAAATATTAATACTTCTATATGAGACATATGTTTAATTTTCTAAATCATCTGGAAGTCTCTATTTAACTTAAATCGTTGTTTTATGATATTTTTTCTGTTATTGTGGACATTGACCATAAATTATATCCTGGTTTATGCCACTGTAAATCAACATCTAGCTAGCCTCCCTCTCTAATTTGTGCATGTCGGCTGTATGGCTATTGCAAGAATGGATGATTGATGAACCTTTATCACTTGTTTTGTATAGTTTGAATTCCTGAACCCTCTAGTACTTACGGTATACCCTTGCACTGACTTCTGTAGAACATGCTGCTAGCAGAGCTGAATATTTCCTTAGTGAGGAGCTTTTAGTTATATTTCCCGTCATCAGCCTCATATCATCTCCCTCTAAATCAGTTAAAGGAGCTGCAAATGATTTGCTTGTCCTTTTAGAAAGGCTTCTGGTAAACTTATGTAGTACTTCAAAGGTTAAGCTACGCAAGAATCTGGGGTATCAATCTATTAGCAGACCTGAACTGATAGCTTACAGGCTTTTGCAACATATATGGTTTGAGGTATGTTCTTGGTATCTAATATTTAAGATTTTATATTATTTTGGTGATAATGTTGAATATAAGAATTAATGTATTTGTTTGTGGTTTAGATTCCCAATTAAATATTAAGTTTTTAGTCACAGGTGTTGAAGATCATAATTAACATTTACCGGAAAGACTTATTTGTTTGCTTTTACAATTATTTTGTGGACGAAGATACTTTATCAAATTAGTACTGTTCTTATTTAAATAAAAAAAGTAATTGAAGAATTACACTGTTTGTTTCTGTTTTACAGGATCAATTTTCATTGCCCAATTCTTTCTTTCTAAGTTTATCTTCTGCTTGTGGAACTGATGTCCAAACAATGCATGACAAACCAAGATCTTGGGCTTATCAACTAAAAGAGCTTGCTCTGTGGATTGTTGAGAGAAGAAAATCAGGTCTACCTGTCCCACGATCCCAAGAAATACTTCTAACTGGTAAGATGAAAATAAATTTTCGTTGTACCTGTTCAGTACTGATGAAAGTATCCACTGTATTTATTTTAAAGGATAAAATCTCTACTTCATGTTTTCTCATGTCCTTCTAGAAATTCCCTTGCTACTTGGGGCAATTGCTGTTGTTTTGGTGATGCATCCATCACTCGGGAATGCTGCTATAGATGCTTTAGCTTCCATTGGCAATTTGGATCCAAAACTAGGTGTTTCTTTGTTGCTAAGTGTTTTATTTTATAATAATATATTCACCAGAAAAGACGTTGTCTACTGGAATTTGCTGGTGAGAGTTCCTTGACTTCCCTAAACATCATCTCTAGTCCTCCCCATCAATGATTCCTTTAATCTGTTTCTAATATTCATAATAATTTCTTTGTAGCCTAAGATTTTGGGAATGCTTCCATCGCTTGCATCACAGACTGGGCTGATTCCACTTGTAGTTCAAACTATCTTGCCAATGCTTCACAAGAATGCAAAGCCGTATGTGCTTATTACTTATTAGAAAATAATTTTCTCATTCTCTTTCATCTTGTGTTGGTTTTCTTTGCATCAACTTGAAATTCATAACAATACGTCATGCTAGAACACATTGTCGCATGGTATCATTAATAATTGCTTGGATATTGCATCCTTTTAAATCTTTTTTATTGTTATTAGGTGTCCTTAAGAGATATCTGCTGGTATGCTTGAGAAGTTATTTTTTTTTATTCTGATAAAGGATAAGAGCTGCATTTTAATAAATAATTTTTACACTCATTTGATTTCTTCTTGAAGAATCAAATTCTATTTTGTGCTTAAATGCTGTTTTCGGATGAACCATTAAACTGTTCTTTTGCTATGAACTATGAAGAGTCTTTTTTAACTTGTCTTAGCATATACTTATTTCATATTCAGAGTGTTGTACGCGACAGCTACTCGCTTGCTTTGCCAAACCTGGGAGATCAATGACCGTGCCTTTGGTAGTTTGCAAGTAAGCACTATAACAATTCTTCCCTTGTTGCCTCATGCTAGTTAACCAACTTAAGACCTGTGTTAACTTAGCCCTTTAATGTTTCTACGAATATTTTTTTCTTCTCAATTTGCAAAATTAGCTTTATCTGGAGAACCCTGCTCATTTGTGTTTCAAATATTTGCAACTGCTGATTAAATGAATTTAATCAATCCTGGATGGTGTGCTGAAAATATCCTGTATCTCTTTTGATCTTGAACTTTGAGATTGCACTTTTCCAGGTTTTTATCAAACCAGTTCAAGGGTTGGGGCACTGGTACTCTTGCTTTATTAGTAGCGTGGTTTCTAGTTGGACTAGTCCTGCCAGTATTATCTAGTATTTGAGCTTTATACCATGTATACCTGTTCTTGTTTCTACTCTTGATTTTTAGGGAACCAATTAGAAATATAGTACTAATTTTAAGGCAAGCAAAATTTGTGGTCCTCTGGTCAACATCTAAATACCAGAGATCTGAGGCTCAGTTCAAGTGTTGATCTAGGGCTGTTTGGAAGTACACCGCTGATATTTGTCACATTAGGAGACTTTTCTCATTCACTTCAATAAGTTTTATTGAGAAATGTTTTTAGCATGTTCCTCTTCCAAAAATACACTTCTTTACATGTTCATGTTTAAAACCTGCATTAGGGGAATCGAGTGTTAAGCTCCGATGTTTGCCTCTAGTTCATCTGCATGATTTATATGCCGCATTTTAATTTATATTTACTTTTCCTTGGCATATAGGGAGTATTATTACCAAAAGGGTTCACTGAGTTTATGCATGAGAGAAATATCTGTATCAGTATGGCTGTCTCCATTCAGGATGTTTGCAGAAAGAACCCTGATAGGGGTGTGGACCTTATCTTGTCTGTATCGGTATGAAGTGCTCTAAGCTGTTTTCTATTTTTTTTATTCTTGTGCAAATTGTTTTCTACCCCCTCCACCTTTTACCTCAAATTGACAGGCTTGCATTGAGAGTCCAGATCCCACAGTTCAAGCTCTTGGTTTTCAAAGTCTTGCACACCTTTGTGAAGCTGATGTGATTGGTAACCTTGATTTTTAAACTTGAAGATGCATATTTTTGTGCATTTCTTAGAGGATTAAATTTTCTAAGTTACTTATTTTCAGTTGAGAATCACTAACGCCTGTGTATGTCGGTCCACTACATCATAATATATATGTATTTGTCTGCATATAGTCTCAAAACATCTTTCCTTTCCGACCCTTGTTTAGGAAAAGGTTTTAACATTATTTTGTAGCCTGATTAATTTTTTATGAATGCTCTTAATTCAATGACACTAACAAGTTATATTTCCTAGTTTCTTGTTTATTTTTTAACAGTCTGGCTGATTTCCAATTTTTTTAATTAATTTCTTTATTCAACTGCATTATCTTGTTTTCTCCAATTCTATCTTTCAATCATACGAATTAGCCTTGCTGATTTTAGATATATGAGGTATTCTGAATCTATGTTCTATTTTTTTTTATATCCATCTAGATTTTTATACAGCATGGGATGTTATTGCAAAGTATGTGCGAAGCTATAACGAGGACCCAATTCTTGCCTATAGGTAACATTTTCTTGATATTAACTGATTCCTGATCAATGGTAGGAGCGGTAAGGCAAGGTTACATGACAACTGCAGCCCAGCCTTATGCTGTCTGCATGGTATTTTCCCGCTGAGGCTTCATTTTCAACAACAATGCCAATAATTCAATGTTTCAGTACCATAAGCCTGAAAGTTTGCAAAAATCCGTTCAAGTGAAGTCAATTGATGTAAAATTTGTATAAAGGGGGGGGATGAACTTGGATCTCTCCTGATTTGTTGTGATGACAATTTTCATAATGATGCCAATAATTCTGGATTTCTACTGTGGAAATATGGGACTCTTTTCTTGAAATGCCGAAGTAACAATCTTGAGTCCTACCACAAGGTGTTCTGTTATATTTGAATGTGACAATCACTTATGATGCATATTTGTCTTCTTTATGGTATTCATTTTGTATAAAACAAATATTAGATTTGCATACTCACTAGATAAGTAATAATTCTATCTTTTACATTAAAAATTTCAAAGTCTTCTAATTTCTGCTTGTTGTCAGTGTCTGCTTTCTTCTAAGATGGGGTGCAATGGATGCTGATGCATACCCAGATGCCTCAAGGGAAGTACTGAAGATTGTATGGACTGTTGGCTGCTCCTTGCATATGGGTCATGAATTACAATGGACAAAGGCAAAGGCCTCCGCATTTGAGGCCTTAATCAAATACGAGGTTTAAGGAACCAGACCTTTCTCATTTACATGCTTATGTTTGTTTGTTTCTTTTTTTTCTATTTGTTTCTAGTTTTCTTTTATACTCTTGGGATACGAACAATAGAGTATCTTCTATTTTAATCAATGTCTTTCCAGATTCCAACTATTGTGAAGAATATTTCAAATTTCAAGCAAATGGTCATGGATCTACTTCTTTCTGAGACAAATCCAGATGTACTTAAGGTTTTGGAAGGACTTCTAGTGAAAATTATTGGACATGAACATAGGTAATGATCATAGAAGAACATACTCAAGAAAGTAGTTTTGTTTCCTGTACTCATAAGTTCTGTCAACTTCCTCCAGCAACCGAAAAAGATTTGTAAAGGAGAAGAAGGTCCCAGTAAGTAAGATTGAGAAGTTGCTGGATGTGTTTCCACAGGTGATCTTCTCATCAGGTATGACAAGATTGGTTTTTTTGCCTTCTGAAAAGAAGTTTTGGTTCCTAGGAAAAAGATTGGTTGTAAATCAAAATCTTACTATTTGCCACCTCAATCTTATGTCCTTAGAACAAGTGAGATCTTTTGAAGTTTATAAGTTCAACTTCTTCTGTATAATAGTTAAAAAAGCTTCAACTATAAGTTCTTAACTGTAAGGTGCATTTTATTCTCTGATCTAGCAATTGTTATGATCATTTCAGTGGCAGGAAAAAGAAGTAATGCTGGAGAATTACCTGGTGCAGCCTTATTTTATGGATCCTTTATTTCTAGCAATTTGAAAAGCCAAGGCACAGCTAGAGTAGGATAATCTGAGTTATCAACTTCTTTTCATTAGAATTTTCTGCTCTTGCTAAGTCTGACATTCTTAGGCTTTTAGGGATTGCAAGATTCTCATTCTGGATATGAAGATATGATGATGCAAATAGCTGCATCCCTTCAACTCTCAAGAAATACTTTTGTTGCACTTCTTTCACTTGAATCATGGAAAGCCTTTGTGCGATGTTGGATGAGGGCTAATATATTGTCTATTGATGCTAAAGCCTCAGTTATTGTTTCAGACAAAACTTCAAAAGCTGCTAATGGTATTCTGAAGGTTTGCCATCCTGTGTCCTGTATTCAAGTCCTTTTATTGTACCTATTTCAATACATTGTATTTAGTAAAAGTGATACTTTTGTTTCTCTAATTTTATCATGCAGACCTTGATGCAAGCTGCTGAAGAATCTATTCCTAGATCTGCTGAAAATATTGCTTTGGCTATTGGTGCACTTTGTGCGGTGAGATTTCAAAGTGATGATAACTTCATCTGTAAACTCCATAATTAGATAGCTTCCTAAAATCTGCCTTGACAATGTAGATAGATGACAATGTTTAAGGTGCACACCTACAACATTTTTTCGTCCTGATCTTCAGTTTTTTATTCCTGTTGTTAGGTCTTGCCACCATCTGCCCATATCATTAAATCAACTGCTTCAAAGTTTCTTTTGGGCTGGTTGTTTCAGTATGAACATGAGCATCGCCAATGGTCAGCTGCCATGTCTGTTGGATTGATCTCAAGCTCCTTGCATGTGACAGATCATGAGCAAAAATTTATGAATATTACTGGACTTCTTGAGGTATAGTCTCTTTGATGCTGGCTTGGACCCTGACCCTATCTCCTTAGGTTGGGGCCTAGAATTTCTATCAATGATAAAAGAACTAAAATTTGTCTTGTTACCATATGGTGTATTTTAAGTTGTTCTAGAAAGTCAGGAAACAGTTGGAAGCCAAAAAATAGGCTCTCTCTCTCTCTTATTAAAAGAATGTCAAAGTTGAGTGAGCGTAGTATACTGATGTTTTAATCCTAGTATTAAGGTTTCTCTTGTACATGTAAATTTGCAACTTGGTTGGGTGCTAACTGCTAACTATAAACTTGAAGTTTCTGGTACTTACTAAAGGTGGGTTAGACACCAAAATAACTAGTTATTAGTTACCAATATGATTCAAGAACAACTTATTTGCTTAAATTGTTAAAAGTAGATAATGTTCTTGGGGATTGGGATGTGACACTTCCAATTTTTTTTCTTATACAATCCTCGTTTTTTACACATGCTAAGAGATATGTTTGTTTCACTCTCAGAGCATCTTTATCCTCGTCTCTTGCTTACACACACAATGCAGATACCAACACATGCAAGAGTGTGAACACCACAATAAACAAAATTTTGTTTATGGGGTTTCTATGTCTTGTAGAACAATCCTTGCTGGCTGAGTTTTTTCTATTGATCACACAATTATGACCATTCCTTGTTTTAGGAGTGTGGACGAATAAACTGTTCAACGAAGGATTTATTAATTTCTTAGTGTATGTATTAGAGCAAGGAACTTCAGTTCCATTTTCGTAGCTGTAACTAATGCTAAGGGAATAATTCTGTCTCTTGGAATATTTATAGAATTACTGGTTTTATATATTTATTTATTTACTTTTTGGAATTTTTGGTTCAGGTTTTGTGCTGCAGTAAAAGTTCCATTGTAAAAGGAGCATGTGGAATTGGCTTGGGATTTTCCTGCCAAGATCTTCTTTCCAGAGTTGAAGCGCCAGATGACTCTAATGCTAATGAAGAAAACCACAGGATGCTGGAAGAAAGATTATTAGGAAGAATAGTTAGAACATTATCTCTAATGTTACATCCAGTTGCTGCTTCTTCAGCCAATACTCTAGAAAGTCTCCGTGCAAATTTTTCAGCAGGCACTGATGATATAGATGCTAGTATAACTTCCGAATTGTTAGATGATGATTCTAATGATTTGGACGATGATATATGGGGAATAGCTGGCCTTGTTATTGGCTTGGGAAGCTCTATTGGAGCAATGTATAGAGCTGGCGCATATGATGCGGTGCTCAAGGTGAAAGACTTGATCATATCCTGGATCCCTCATATGAGTTCCTCGGTTCAAACCTTTGATTCCAGCAATGAAAGATCGGAGATACTTTTATCTGTAGGATCCTGTCTTGCACTTCCTCTCGTGGTGGCTTTTTGCCAAAGATTGGAAATGGTGGACGGTAATGAATTAGACCATCTGATCAATGGCTATGTGGACCTCATTTCTGATTTATTGTCTGTCAATAAATCCGGTGCTTTTCACAAGAGTTTGTTGATGGCATCAACTGCTGGAGCTGGGAGCCTTTTATCATGCATATTATCTGAAGGCTTGCACTTTGTTGACGTGGAACGTGTAAAGTGTTTACTTGAATTGTTTAGAAATTGTTATTCTCGTCCTTACCCTCCTATCGTCCATTTTGGTGGAATGCTTGGAATTGTTAATGCTTTTGGGGCAGGTGCTGGAAATTTAGTTGATTTTCACCCTTTTAACCCCTCTGTGCACACTGGGTACGATCAAAAGGTAGTTGTATTATTCTGGTTTATGTGATATTTACGTGACCCCCTACTTTATGTTGGTTATTGTGATATCCAAATACTCACGTACTTGGCCAACAGGACCATTCCCATATTTCAGGTCCGATACTTACAAATTCTGCTTGTGAAGAGCACTCAACATCATTGATGCAAGATATTTTTCTTGTTGCACAAAACTCTGATGATAATCAACTGCAACAATATGCAGCCTGGGCAGTTTCATTTCTTCGAAATCGACTGTGGTCTAGAGAAGTTTTAAATAGTGCTAGCAGTACACAAAGTGACTCTGTTGGCTCAAAATCTATATCTCAAGGTGTTCCCGAGGACAGTGCTGTCATGAAGCTTGGTCTGTGGCTTAAATCTTTTAATCAATCTGGGGTAAGTTTCCTTAGATATTCTTATTCCTTAATTCCATCATGTTTTCGGGAGGAAAAACATTTCTTCTTTTTCTCTTATGACATTCAAGGTTACATTAGAGCAAATTGCTGGCGAAGTCCATGCTACTATACCTTATTTACGAAGTGAAGTTTTATTTATTGCCCTCGTCTACTTCTAGTTCGTTAATTTATGTTTATAATTTCTTGTTCTCATAAGTTCAGACAGGTACCAAAACACATATTTGCATAGTAGCCACTATTTTAAGGTGCCTATCACTAGCTCCCAGGCTACCAACCTTGGATTGGGGTGCAATTGTTAGACGATGTATGAGATATGAAGCTCAAGTTACTCGGTTGTCAGCACAGGATATTGCCCATAAGGAAGGAACCCTTAGAGAGGAATGCTTGCAGTTTGCTTTGGTCCATGCAAAGCAATTTGATGCACTGCTGACATTCCTCGATGAGTTGTGTGACCTTCCTCGGTTCAGGACGCTGGAGTTAAGTCTCCAATCTTGTCTGCTCAGTCATTTGGCAGACCTGATAAAACTATTCTCGGGCTCAAGGCAGGAGAAATTATTGTATGACGTGAGTAATTACTTTTCTTCCCTTACAACAGACCAAGTGCTTGATTCAGGGGAGAAAAGTTCATTACGGAGTTCTTGCTGGAAGGGTCTCAGTCAGTGTCTAGATGAAGCCTCTCTCGACTCTCTAAAATACATTAAAAATATTGAAAGGTGCATGGAAGTGCTTTTTTCCTTTTTACCCTCACCTCAATCATCTGCTGATGTGGAAGTGAATCAGTTGAACTTGGTTGAGTGGTCCGAGGCAGTTAGGTGCTTGGCAAAGGCTCGGCTCGGCTGGTTATTGGATTTTCTACATGTATGAACATTTTCCTTGCAAATTAGTTATTATTATATCCTCAAACACGCTCTTTATTTGATCCGTAAACCATTTGTTTATCACAGGTTTCACATTTAGATTCAGGAGATGTCACCTTTGTGGAAGTTCTGAAAAGGATTCAAGCTAAAGCGAAGCTAGTTCGAACCGGTTCCATCCCAATTGCTGAACTGGAAAAATCAAAGTCTTATTTACTGAATTCAGAACCACTTGGTTAGTGTTTTTTTTAACGAACATGAAATTCTGGCAAATGTGAACAAACCACCATAAACGTGTAGCAAATGTTTGCTTGTAGTCACAAGGAATTATTCTGACAAACAACATTTTGTATTCAGGTACCTGGGGTGTGCTAATTGAAGTTGTAGCAACTTTACAGCGTGTGGAGGGAAGCGTAAAAAGACAATGGCTGGTTGACGCCATCGAAATCAGCTGCGTTTCAAATTATCCTTCCACGGTAGGAACTAATCTCGATAAAAATGACCTGATTTACCTCTTCGTCTGCCATGCACATAGGCGCTCACTTAATCATACCTTCATTACTGTGAATTTGGCATATTCATTTAAAAACCAAACCGCACCAGCCGATTGAACCTGAACTGGTTGGCCTGATGATTCCACGATGTAAGTTGAACAGGAAGATTAGATAACCGACCAGAACTGGTAAAAAAAAAAACCCCAAGAAATGTTGAACTGCTTATTCATTTGGCTCGGTTCATATTCATCCTTGATTTTCTTTAAATATGTTTTTATTCTGATTTTTCGCAGAAGTTTCAAATTATTCAAGATAGTTTAACCATTTGAACTAGAAACCCGAGGTTCAACTGATCCGATCTCTTGTTTGGTTTTGTCAACCATATTTGTTTGGTTCTGATGGCTTGCCTTTTAGGCCAGTGGATAGAAGGGAATAACTAAAATAAATTTTGATATCATCTATTCTTCATTATTGAACTAATTAAAATCCGCATTAATCGACCTGCAGGCACTGCAGTTTATTGGGCTTCTATCTGGGTCTTGCTGCAAATACATGCCCCTTCTCATTGCAGATCGATCATATGTTCTGAACGACATACCGGTTACTCTTACGTCTCTCTTATCGGACCCGAACTGGGAAGTGATTGCAGAAAGCTTTACTTCGTATCTTTTGACATCAACGGAACGAATTTACGGTTGGGCTATGAAAGTATCATTGGCAAGTGAGGATGATGCAGTACCGAGTTCGCAAGTTATCGAAGAGAGTGAAATCGGTATGGCTCAGATACTATTGCCTGTTATGCACCATGCATGTGTTTGCTTGAAACATTATTTGCCTCTAGACAAGCAACTTAGACTTGCAAACATGGTTGTTGATTATGCTTTAGGATATTAAAACAAACACCTCTAGCATCAATTAAAGCTCAAAGCTTAATTTTGATTTTGCTGTACAATATTAAGGATTTCTCTCATCTTTTATTGTATTTTAGCACTTCTTATTTTTACATTTCATCATGTGGTTTTAAATGTTTTTTCCCCATATAATTTACTCATCTTTATGAAATAAAAATATTTAATTGTTATAATTAATGTTAATATTTAAAATACGAAAGCTAACTACTGGATTTATGAGTTAATTGCAACATACATCCCCAAACTATGTCTTATTTTAAACTGATCCTTGAACTTTTGAATATTTTAATTTCATCCCTAAATTATGACTCCCATTCTAAATTGGTCCTTTAACTTTTGAACATTTGAAATGCACCTTCAAACTATGACCCTTTTTTCTAAATTAGTCCCTAAACTTTTGAACATTTCAATAATATCCCCATAAATCATTCAAAACTTCAAAGTTGAAATTAGAATATTTAAAACTTTAGGGATCAATACAGAATGAGGCTTATAGTTTGGGGATGGATTGGATATGTTAAAAATCCCGGGGATTAATTTAAAATGAAAGCATAGTTTGAGAATGAAATTAGAATGTTCAAAAGTTTAAGACCTAATTTGAAATGAAGATCGGATATATGATGTCTCGTTTTATTGCAAAGATAAATAATGCATTTATACCCACCACTAAAACAAAGGTTATTAGTATCATATCAATGGACATGCCAATTTTATTTTGATATGATACGTTATATCAATGTCTTGACGTATTTTTGAGTTTTTCAAATTTTTTAAATATATATTGTTACTAAAACACATTATATGTACTCACAAACATGCCCTGAATACATATGAAAAATTTATATTTATATGCAAAAACGAAGTCAAAAATATTAGTCAGCTTCGATAACTTAATTTAACTATTGACAAAAATTGAATTAAAATACATCAATTTTTTTACTAAAATAAACCTAAAGCAATCGATTTAGATCCGAAACTACAAGTGTACACCTGCAAGCGTTTCAAAAGATTAAAAGAAAGTCGAAGTTATTTTTTTTCTTTTACATATAATCCCAGTCATGAAACAATATAAAACTAGAAATAAAAGGAAATGAAATTTCAGCTATTGAGAGTGAGATAGAGTTTCAACAGATTGAATAATTTATTTACCTCTGTACAAATCTGAAAAAACAAGTTCCGATCCTCAACTTGTGTCGCCTTTAGGCGACTCTTGCATGCTGGATGTTGGGGATGGAGTCTGCTCCGAAGCTTCAGCCGATTCCATATGCTCAATGAAACTCTCTCGATCCGAATTCCCAGATTCCCCATTGCCTGAAGCAACGGTGATTTCTTGGGCAATGGTGCATGCTGATTTTTCTTCTGTCTGGCGATCAGCTTCTAATGGTTCCTTGGGTGTGGAAGATGGAGTTTCTTTGCTACGAGAGTTGGTGTTAAATGTCAGCCATTTGAACTGCAAATTGATGCCTTGCCAGCATTTACCATTTATATAAGCCCTTTCTGCCGATTGGCGAGTGCCATAAGTTATAAGCGCCAAACAATTCTTCAATGGCTCTGACCTGGTATCATCGGCATCTTCATTTTCCACGTCCTGTAGTTCCACAGAGAAAAGATCTCCATACTGTAAGAAGTGCTCCTTCAAAACAGCAACCTAATTGATAATCAGATATGAGTTACCTCTCATTGACAACAACAAAGAGCACAGACGCAATTGATTTTGTCATTATAATTGCCACTTTTAGATAGGGGAGAGAGACTCATGCCTAGAATTTTAGGCAAGGATCAAGGACTAAGAACAAAAGTTACATGCTACTCGGACCTGGTTGATATGGTTCTGTCAGATTTTTTTTCCTAAGCTTTTCCGTAGGATCATATCGCTATACCCATTTCTAAATATATGTCGGATACTGATATTTCAAGAAAAATGAAGAATCGGAGCAATATAGCTACAATATACCCAAGAATCAAAATATCAGAGGTTTCCTCAAAGAGCATGCAAAAGATTATACTCGAATTTTCATGTGAAAGAGCATAAAGTTCTCTATTCATTAACTGGCTTCATTACACCTTTGGAATAATTCTTCCGCATAAAATACCAGGAGTAAATACAATTCTTAGATGAGGAAAAGGGGAGAGGGTAACTCACATCTGCAAAACCAGAAGGCAATGGCGGAATAACTCTAAATGCAATTGGTCGGTTGTCCAATTTGTATTTATTCGCCGGGAATGGATGCCTAATAGGTGCAGACAGATGAGGCTTACGAGACTGCTGCTTTGAGCTTGTAGATTCCTGCAATCCCATGGAGGTACTCGGTTTTGGGCTTTGAGATGCACCATTCTCAGTCAATTTGTTCTTATCTGTCATCCCTATGGAGTATGGTTTTGCTGCAGAAGCACCAGATTCAGAGGAACCAGGAATCAAAGCTTTTGCAGGATCAGCTGCAATACCCACCTTTTGCCTCTTAGCAGCTGGCTCAGTCAGTAGATCTCCCTTGACAACACTAGACTGCAAAAGATTGAAATAGAATCAGATGTTAAACCCACATTTACAGTTAAAACCCTCATTTTCTGTTCCATCATTCTCTCTCTACTAATGCCAGCGTGTGTACGCAATCAAACTACTGGAAAATAAAATGCATGCATGGTCCAATAGTGAAGTTTTTCACATCACTTGGCTACAGAATATACTATCATTCAACAAGACCAAAAACATGCAACTTCCGAACCTGATTTCAACACAACAATTCTTGTGACAACGTAAAATATACTCGAGAAGTGCATATTTAGGAAAATTGTCTATAAAATTAAAGAAAGTTGTTTGTACTTGTTTCTCAAGTTTGTCCAACTGGCACCGGAAGTCATTCCGCTTTTGCTCCAGCATTTCCTGCTTCTTGCACAATTCCTCTTTCATTTGTTCCAGAGCGTCTAACTTTTTCTGCAATGGAGATGGAAGCTGGGGACCATTCATTCTAACAGGCTTAGGGGAGTTCAGAGAAGGCACATCGGCACCATGGACAACATTACTCTTTTGAGCAACAGGTAGAAGATTATCCTTTCCTCTATTGGCAACAGGTTGAGCTGGAATAGAAGAAGCTGTTAGAACACGTGGAGTTACAGATACGCCACTGCCACTTTTTATTCCATCAACAGGTATGTTATCCCGATTAGCCCACCAAAGCTTAATAAAACGGTTACCCATTACAGCATCAGGTGCCTTCAAAGCAGCTTCTGCCTCTTCCCTCCTTGAAAACTGGACGAAGGCCCGTTCACCATTTAATGGAAGGTAGATGTCAATAACCTCTCCGAACTTACGAAAATGAGAAAGAAGAGCCTCTCTTTTGTTGCATTTCTGGGGAATCCCGTTGACAAACAGCGTATGAAGTGCCTTTTGTGTTGGTTTTCGGCTACTACAAAAATCAATCTGCGACTTCAATGAAGAATCCATAACTTTGGAGCCATCATCCTCACTGTTGATCCGTCTGACAAGACAAGAAATGTCTTGAGAGCTAGGAAGTGCTCCCTGTTCTTCTTTGGTTTCATTCTCAGGATGGTCCGAGGGTATTGGACCAATTTTGTCTTTTGTGTCTATTCCACTTCTGGAGCTACCAACTCTACCCCAAACAGGCAAGTTCATGCACTGTGACCCGGTGCTTCTAATTGGCAATTCATTATCAGCACTATCACGTAAGCAGCCATGAGGACGATCAGAGATGTCACTATTCGGCAACGGTTCTGTTTCATTAGTCTTGGGTGACCGAAGTCCAGTCAGTGCAGCTGATGCTTCTGGGCCATTGTTATTCCACAAGGGTTGATCAGGGTCATACAAATCACCATTTGCACTAGTAGAACCAGAATATGCACTATTCAAACCTACAGCATCCTCCGTAATTCCAGATTTATTATTTTTGCTATGTATGCCTTTGCTGTTCGTCGAAGTGGTTGAAGGAGGAAGGCCTGAAGGTGGTGGCCCGGGGCCAGCAGGTTTTGCCAATATTTGTGCACTTGGAACCGTGACAGGAAGGTTAAACTGCAACAGACTCTGCAAATCGAAAAGAAAATTACCGTCAACTCAGATACACGGGGAATGCTAAATCTTGCAAGGTTATAAGAAAGAATCTATGTTGAGCAAGAAACTTTCCTACCAAGGTAATTTGGATTGCAAGCAATAAATATTGAGAACATTTCAGAAAATTAGAATATTTAGACTAAAATGTAAGAGCGAGGCTGAGGTTAAAGCGCTTCTTCTATTGGTAGTTCAGCATATAATGCAAGTATATTGCCAACAAGCATTTAAAAGTTGTTAAAATGGAAAATTTTAACATTAAAAAAAAAGAAAAAAAATCTTTAACACACTGCTCATCATTATACTTTTTGAGGGCACCAAAGGTAAACTGGATGAACAATCTCCCTACCTGGTCCTAAGTGAAATTATATTGGATGAACAAGCATATAAAGGCTCATGGAAAACAGCATAAGCCTCCACATGTCAAAATCAGGATAAACATTAGCACAATGCATACCTGAACATCTTCCACAACAATACGATTGACACCATGCTCCATTGGGCACATATCTCCTCTTAGACAAAATCCACGCTCCTCAAAATCTCTGCAACGTTGGAGAGGAATGCCCATATTTAATGAAGAATTCATCGGCGGCCTGAGTACCCCTTGTAAACCAATAGAATGGAGCGTATCAAGACCACCATTTGGTATTCCTGGCATTAGCCCAAAGGCACTCCATGATGGGGCTTGTGCGTTTGAAAGATTTGGCAATCCCCTTCCTGCAAAGAGACCTGGAGCAACTGATCCTGGCTGAACCATTTGATAAGCAATATCAACAGAGTTGAACCTAGAATCACGTTGATTCCAAGAGGAGTTATCCCTTCCTCTTCCGCGGCAAGGACCAGAATCTCCGCTGAATGTTTGGTTTGGCCTAATTCTATGGTTCAGGTTCAAATGTCCTCGAGGAAGGGATGCTAACCCAGGGAATCTTCTATCAAACTTAGGTCTCAAGTCTTTTTCT